AAGCAAAATAAAAATATCTTCAGACCAAAAAAATAGAGAATTTGTTGCAAGTTGACCCACAATTTTAAAATACTTAAAAGATATTGAAGCAGAAGGAATGTGATCTCAGATGAAAACATGAAATACAGAAAAAAAATGAAAAAAAATTGAGAATTGGAAAGGATAAATATGCAGGTAAATCTAATACCTATTTTTAAAAATATTAATAATGTCTTATATTGTTTTATATGTAGAACTAGAATTCATTACAATAATAGCATAAAATGGAAAGTGGGTAAATTGAGTTAAATTGTTGTAAAGGCCTTGCATTGTCTGGTAAGTAATAAAAGTACTAAGTTAAGATAGATTTTAATAAATCAATGATGCATGTTTTTATCCCTAGGATAATCACTAAAATAATAATAAAAAAGGGAATCACTGAAAAGCCTTCTCTATGATCTGGAAAAGACAAGAATGCCCACTTTCACCACTGTTGTTCTATATAGCACTGGAAGTCCTAACTAGAGCAATCAGATAAGAGAGAAAAAATAAAGGGCTTCCAAACTAGAAATGAAAAAGTAAAATTATGCTTATTTGCAAATAATATGCTCTTATACTTAGAGAAACCTGAAGAATCCACCAAACACTATTAAATCTGATAAATTCAGTAAAGCTGCATGACATAAAATCAATATACAAGTATCAGTAGCATGTCTAAATGCCAACAAAAGGTAATCTGAAAAAGAAACCAAGAAAGTAATTCCATTTATAATTGCTACAAATAAAAGAAAATACCTAGGAATAAACTTTACTAAACAAGTGAAACAATTTTACAATAGAAACTATAAAACATGAATGAAAGAAATTGAAGAGGACATTTAAAAATGGAAAGACATTCCATGTGTATGGATTGGAAGAATCACTATTGTTAAAATGACCATAATGCCCAAAGCAATCTACAGATTCAATGCAATCCCTAACAAAATACCAATGATGTTCTTCACAGACATAGAAAAAAAATTTTTTTTAATCTATTAAGGTTTCATTTATAAGGAACCATAAAAGACCCAGAATAGCCAAAGTCATCCTTAGTAAAAAGAACAAAACTGAAGTAATGACATTACCTGACTTCAAATTATACTACAGACCTATAGTAACCAAAACAGCATGGTACTGCCATAAAAACAGACACATAGACCAAAGGAATGGAATAGACCCAGATATAAATCCACACATCTATGGCGAAATCATTTTTGACAAAGGTGCCAAGAACATACCTGAGGGAAAAGACAGTCTTCAATAAATCATGCTGGGAAAACTCTATATCCATATGCAGAAGAATAAAACTAGACCCCTATCTCTTACTATATACAAAAATCAAATCAAAATGGACTAAAAACTTAAACTCAAGACCCAAAACTATGAAATCACTAAAAGAAAACATTAAGGAAATGCTTCAGGACATTGGCCTGGGCAAGGAGTTCTTAAGTAACACCCCCAAAGCACAGGCAACCAAAGCAAAACTGGACAAATGGGATCTCATCAAACTAAAAAGCTTCTGCATACCAAAGGAAACAGTCAACAAAGTGAAGAGAACACACAGAATGGGAGAAAATATTTGCAAACTACTCATCTGACAAGGGATTAATAACTAGATTATATAAAGAGCTCAAACAACGCAATGGGAAGAAACATCAAGTAATTAAGCAATTAAAAATGAGCAAAAGATCTGAATACACATTTCTCAAAAGAAGGTACACAAATGGCCAGGTATGTGAAAAAGTGCTTTACATCATCAGTCATCAGAGAAATGCAAATCAAAACTACAACAAGATATCATCTCATCCCAGTTAAAAAGGCATTTATCCAAAAGACAGGCAACAACAAATTCTGGAAAGAATATGGAGAAAGGGGAGCACTCTTACAATGTTGGTGGGTACATAAATTACTATAGCTACTGTGGAGAACAGTATGGAGGTTCCTGGAAAAACTACAGCTAGAACTACCATATGATTCACAACCCCACTGCTAGGTTTATATCCAAAAGAAAGAAAATATAGTGAAAGAAATACCTGCACTCCCATGTCTATTGCACCACTATTCACAATAGCCAGGATTTAGAATCAAACTACGTGTCCATCAATGGATGAAAGGAACGTACATGATGGAATATTATTCAGCCATAAAAAAGAATTAAATTCTATCATTTGCAACAACATGGATCAAACTAGAGAACATTATGTTAAATGAAATAGGCCACAAATTTCACATGTTCTCACTCATATCTGGGAGCTAAAAATTAAAACAACTGATCTCATGGAGATAGAGTTAGAATGATGGTTACCGGAGTTTGGGAAGGGTAGTGTGGAGGAGAGCACAGCCTTTAATACTGCTAGATACATATTTATTAGAAAAAAATGTATCTGCTAAGTAATTTTATTCACTACCAATAGTAAGACTATACCAGCACTTGAATCTCCTGTAACAAAAGACAATTGTTGCTTTAAGTATTGCTCTATGAAATATTGCATCAAAGCCTTTTAATATCAGGTTTGAATTAAAATTTCTCGAGTAGCAGTTTTTGTTTTTAAAAGAAGTATGCTTCCACCTGCTCTAGACACTCATCCTTTGTTGGCTGTAACCCATGCAGAAATTATTTCACTTTTGACAATGTACCTCCCTAAGTCCTCCATAGCCAATGATTCATTATAACCATAAATCATACTTTGTGTTTAAAACACTTGGCTGAAAATATACTGGGCATCAAAACAATTTAGATCACCAAATAGAAAAGTTATTTATATGTTTACAAAATGAACATGTTCCTAGAGAAGGTAACAATTCAGGAAGTATCCAGTATTAACTTAAAGATTTCCTGAGTCATACAAGGTATAGCAACAGAATTATGTAAAACAGATTCAGCAAACTAACAAATGGTACATAAGTTTTAATTGTAAACTTGTTGTCATTAGCAAAGATCCAACAAGGCAAAGAAAACTTGGTAGTTTAAGATCAATTTCAACTTAATTCCCCCATCACCACCAAAAGATTTTAAATCACCTTTTAAATTTAAATATGTTTTACCCCTTTACCAGAGATTCATCATACCAGAATATTTTAAAAATTGAATGAAGAGGACACATAGGTACTACAGTAATAGGGTATTGGGCAGAGGGAAGAGGGAGGGGGCGGGTATATGCATACATAATGAGTGAGATGTGCACCATCTGGGGGATGGCCATGCTGGAAACTCAGACTTGTGGGGGGAGGGGGGAAAGGGCATTTATTGAAACCTTAAAATCTGTACCCCCATAATATGCTGAAATAAAATAAAATAAATAAATAAAAATTTTAAAGATTGAATGAAGAAAGGAATTCCCATTGAAAGACTAACATTAAGTAATAATATGGGTTATTGACAGATGACTCTTACACTTTATTGACAGCAACTCACAGAAAACATATATTTTATATAACCCAGTATACCCACATGTATAACCATAAAAATACTTACAGGAAATGCAATCTGATATTTCTATTCTGCTCTATCCATCCTTTTAATTGTTTGCTACTCCCTAAATTGAAATCACATACTACTAAAGGGTTACATCCAAGTTTCTGTAAGTGATATTAATATTTTTGAAAGTATATTAATTAGTTAAGTGGTTGGAAATCAATCGGATTTGGGAAACAAAATAGCATAATTGGAAAAGAATTCAAGCTCTTAAATATGACAAATTTAGGGTCAATTTCTATCTTAGTTATTTGTGTTTAACTTCAGCAAGTTACTTGACTCCTCTATGATTATTTAATTAGTAATCTGGCATTAATATAAATTAATAAGAGTTGTTGTGAGGATTGGGTGAGATAATCTACATGCAGTAATTAGCACATAATCTAGGATGTAGTAAGGACTCAACAAATTCTAGCTATTAGGAAATAAAGTATAACATCTTCTAGTATAGGATAATTTTCTCTCAACTGAATAGCTTTTAACTCATATGAATAAATCTCTCAGTACCTGGATTTATCTTAAACATAAAATTGTCTAATTTACTATACCTTTTGCATAAATTAAAAATAGATTCTATAATTTGTCCATACCTCCCATCTTTGTTAGGCTAGTGTACACTGTATCCATTCATCTTGCTTAGATAATGGTGATAACACCACATACTTACAGAACCCAATATATTTTGCAGTATTTAATTATCTTTTAAGTAGTTCAGATATTCATTAGCTTGATGAAAATTGATTAAGTAATTTCCCCACATTTAATATTTTAAGTAGCTCAAATGTACGTGTACAGATAGTACCTTTAAATAAAATTACATATCTAGGAACAAAATATCAAATTAAGACTAAGAAACTGTAGGAACTCTATTTCCTAATTCTTTCTCTCCACCACTAGATGTTTTTCTGCTATTTCCAAAATTGAGACAAAGCATTTATTTCATCTACTTCCTTTTTCCATTCTTTAAATTCCTTCTTCCCAAATAAACCAATTCATACTGTATACATGTCAGTTCTTGGACTTTCATATAGAAACATGGAAATCCCAGAATCCACACCATTTTACAGCAGTGGTTCTCCAACAAGTTTTCCCATTGTAATATCCTGAGGAGTCTTTCCATTCTTTTGCCTTTCTTCCGACCCTATAACTTCAGATGAATTGCTCTTCAGTGAGGACCAAGACTTGGGATTTTTTAAGCTTCCCAGGTAATTGTAATGTGCAGCGAAGTGTAAAAAGCACTGAACTCCAGCCTTCTGCGTGCTTCCCCAATGCCTGCTAGACCGTGATTGGATCACAATTCTATACAGGAAGCTGCCAAACTGGCAACCACAACTGTTACTTCTTTGTTTCAATAAATAGTATCAATACAGACGTTTACCTTCTCTTAATCTTTCTCTTAACTCCAGTGGAAATCAGAGAGGTATTTAAGACGGGAGATTTTTCTGTGAAAGTCATTTTTCTTCATGAATTTTCAAATTGCGGCCACCTAAACTTTGTATTTGGAAGAGTAAGATTAAGCAACAGTTTGATTGTTCCAAAGAAGAATCTTCTACCAAGGTAGGTATTTAGAAATATAAATGTAAGGATTTTTACTTTGGAATTCTAACTTTTGCTCATAGTCTCAAGAATATCATTCTTATGATTTTTAATAGAAATCAGTCATGCTACCTAAAAATTTCAGATGTATTTTAAGAAAAAATTGTCAGTAGTAAAGCTTGCCATATCTTTAAAATTTCTGAAAAAGTATATCAAAAAGAGCATTCATGTTAGTTGCACAATTTACATCCAATTTCACAATCTATTGATTTTTCTGCTGATATATTTTAATAATCTGTAAAGTCAACCATGAGTAGAAGAGTCTTAAAAATGTATGTAGACAGATTTGCATTTCTGTTATTCTTGTTTGAGTCAGGTTTTTAATGCGTTGTTAAGCTGTTTTTAAGAAAGCATGTTAGGAAAAGTGAGTTTAAGGGGGTAGCTGTGTGTACATACCATTGCGGAATTTGTGCACCTCTCTTCCTATGCCATTTTCAAAGCTAGTACAGATGATAGCACACTGACCCCAAGACAACCTGTCAGCTTGAGGGTGCTTGAACTTTGCCTTCTCAAAACACAGGATGCCATGTACTTACAATATGCAGTTGAAAATTATAAACAAATTAAGGGCAAAACCTCTTTTTCCTAATTCACACAGATAGATAATAACTGGCTTTAGTGAATCACTTGGAAAAAAACTTATTAAGGCAATAATATTTCAGTAGGATGATGTTCAAGGAAAGACACGCATTGCACAATTCCTATACTTTCATATAAATCTAATAACAATGTAATAATCATATTAAGAAGTTATTTTTTTACAATAGTCCTGTCACATTAACAATATCCAGGTCACAAATCTGTAGAAATCTACAAGTGTTGACTAATTTTAAACAAACGTACCAAAAGTACACCCAAATAACTTATCAACCTCCAAAGTGGTCACCACTAAAGGCAATGAGGAGTTTCCAAAAATGCTTTTACTTTTTAAATATATTTTCAAAAATTATCTAGAATTATCTTTTATAAAATGTGTACCATTATTTTTTATTATAAAAGAACACAAACATTACAAAATTGCTGTGCATATATGCTATTTTAAAGGATTTTGTTCTCTTTCTTCATCGTATTACATAACAAGTATTAGAATTCTTTCAAATTTTTGATTTTTAAATTCAGAAAACTACTGTTGACTAACCATGGACAATAAATGGCTTGCTTTCAGGAGCAACATTAAAGAATGAAAACATTAACTTTCATCGTGGGCCTGTTGGCTCTTATTTCACATTTCATGGTAAGTTCCCTGAATCCTAAATGTTCTTGTTATATTTCTTGTTAATCATAATTTCAAAGAAAGTTTTGACACCATTGATGATGTCCTTTTTTATATAAAAACATAGTGTCAAGCTGTTGATCCTATGGACTTGTTATTTTCCTTTTTGTTTCTCATTTATATGCGACTAACCATCTGGTCCATGGTCAGTGGGCATGAAGGGATAGTGATCTGGCATGAGGAGGACACAGAGCAGGTAGAATCTGGGAAAGCTATTTCTAATCTAGAAACATCTCTTCCTTTCTATTTTTTTCAAAAGAACTACCATCAAGTTGTTAAAAAATATATATATATATATATAATTTAAGCTTACTCAACATTTTAAGGCTACAGGAAATGGGGAAAACATAAAGTTGGAGCTTCACAATAGATAAATTTTCTAAATGGATAGCATGATATAATACATCAATGCAAGGATAGATGATTATACAATAGTTTTTTGTTTAAAATATTTGTACAGACTACAATTAAAGGCCTTTCTGGTTTCTGAAAATACATTGGCCATGGTGAAAATACTCCTGTGAATTGAGTAAAGTGCTCCTCACTTGGGAAAAGATAAAAACAGAAAAAGAAAGATCATTCACTCAAGAAACACTTAACGTTAATTTGAACTTTTGAAAAGCATTTGGTTAACCTATACAGGAAATCCAAAAATATATAATGAAAAGTAAGAAGTGATAAGTGCCTTAGCTAAAAACACCAATCGCATATTATGAACCTCAGAGAAAGAACAGTTTCCCCAGTGTGGGAAACTGTTAGGGTTGGGGTGAGGCTGGAGAGGATGGAGGGCTCAGAGTTTGTTTCATTTCTTGAGTTGCTGACAATCCACCGTGTGCTGGGCCTAGCACTAGATGACACAGAGATACCGACACTGAATTCAAAATTGGGATCTTCGCAGCTCAGGTGTTCAGTTCATAGTATGTACCTAAGAAAAACTATTTTGGAATCAGTCTGCATTATAGAGTGAATAAAAACATGTCAATAGACCCTAGCAATAATATGAGCCAATAAGGTAGTATTATTGTTCTGAGGCATTTAATGACATTTGTAAAAATACTCTTGGACAAATTTTTTATTTTCTCTGAGCTTAGATGAAGCTGAGGTAGAAGAGTGTTTCACTCCATGATATACCTATATCAGAAACACCTGATCCACCCTTAAGACTGTATATTTCCAGAACTTATCCTAGACCTGATTAAAAAAAAAAAAAAAGAACAACATCATCTGGCCTTGGGGCTTGGGAAACTGCATTCTAGGGGATTCTTACTCATGCTAAAGTCTGAGACCACCTGCATAGATTTTCTTAAAATTGGCTTCTCATACTATTGTGTTATAATTGTTACATGAAGTATAGAAAGAGTTTTTAAGGTAAATTCAACAGAAATCAATGTATCAAATAAAAAAGTCAAAGTCAAGGATTACAATTAATTATCAAATTTATAATACTGGAATTGAACCACTTTGGGGCAGTATTCCCCCAAACATTGTGACAAGCACGACTTCTCTGGCCACATGAATAAACTTCGGTTTGGACTCTCCAGAAGTATAATATTAATACATTAGAAGACAAAGGAAGTTCCATGAACAAGCAAATCTAGAAAAGCTGGGGGAAAAAGAATAGAGCTTAGTTTCTTAGAGTACTTTTCAGAGGTAATAACAGAAGTAATGCTGTTTTGTTTCTCTGCCTACAATCCCCTACTGAGGACTCACAACTTCTGAGGAGCATTATACAAAGTATTCATCTTGAGGATTTTTATTAATTAATGACATATTTTTATCCCAGAAGCCTGAATTGCAAGACAAACATGACTTAAAACAAATTCTTTTTAATTTGGAAAGATTATAGAATCCCTTTTATATAAGCAGAGGATTCCATGTCCTAAAAAAAAATGAATTTAGTACATGGATTTTCTCATATTAGAATTAAATATTCTTGGATACAAGAAAAGAACCTCAAAACGCAATATTTAAATTCTCTCTAGTAACAATTTCTTTCTATATTCATTGCCTCATGAGAAGACGTTATTAGCCTCAATCCTAACAACGATATTAGCTGTTAGTCTAAATAAAGAAACTTTGTTTAACTTAACACCTAGAACTTTCAAGATATAGGAGAAATTATCTTTTGTGATACAGGGGCTATCCAGGATTAAAATAGAAAAGAACAGGTCATATTTATATATTTACAATGCACCATGGTGTATACTCTCACTTCCAAACATCACAAAAACCCTGGAAGGCTAGACAACTGTTTGTGATGCTTTGATACACAGCACGGAGCTGGGCATGAGGTGAGCCCTCATGTTAGTGGAGTGAGAGAATAGGCCTCGGTGTAGTTGTCTCCCAGGATAACAAATAGGCTTCAGATTTGTACCTGTTAACTCATGCCATTTCACAGGACATCTGAAGATCGCAGGCTGAGTGTAGAGCTCAAACGTAAGGGTCTCCTGATGGACAAGGGATGCTTACCATGCTCACAGGAGAGCTCGGAGCAGCACTTTGGCAAACACCCATCCTCCCCCACATACAGAACCCTTTTTTGCAGCACAATCTATCCACTGAGCCATGCTGGTTAAACTGTCACTCTGGCAGTTTCTAACCCCTAAGAAGAGGAAATAGAAGTTTCAAAAAAGGTAATATAAATAAAAGAGTATACAGAAAGAGCTATGATAAAAGAATTATCAAAACGTGAAGCAAACCTTCAGTCTGAACTAAACTAACTGTGCTGACTATAAGTGGTTTTCAAATGACCTAGGCCAGCCAGTATTTCTCAAAACTAAAACTCTAACAGCCAGGCACCTCACCTGGGGATTTTGGAGAACTGCAGGCTTTGATCCAGTAGGTCTGCATGGGCCCCAAAAGTCTACTTTTCTGAAAAGCTCCCAGGTAAAGCTGATGCTGTTCTGGTCAGCAAATAGCATTTTGAATGGCAAGGCTTTGGGCAATTGAAGCCATCAAATCAATCAGAGAAAGACTGAGGACTTACTAAGAGTTTGTACAAATGCTGGTGTTTGCCATACATGTCTTCATGGAAAACACCTTCTGCTACTTGCCTTGTGCAAGGAAGGAACTAACATTACAAAACCAAGTAAGGGAAATTTCTGCTTATCACCAACCCATGCAAGTCATTTACCCAAAAATACTTAAGGAGCACTTGCTATATGCCAGACACCATTCTAGATATTGGGTAAACAGTAGTGAACGAGACAGACACAAAGTTGCCAACCTCATGGAGTTTGTATTCCACTTGGTGAAGACAAGCCATAAACAAGATAAATATGTAATGCAGGAAAGGGAAGGAGGAAAGTTTTTTAGGGGGGAGTTGAATGGGGCTGCAATTTCAAATAGGGTAGCCCAACAGCAAATGACATTTGATTAAAGACTTAAAGGAAGTGAAAAGGCCAACCATGCAAGCAGATGAAACAAGAAGTTCCAAAGTCTGGAGGAGGTACTCGTGCCCAGTGTGAAGAACAAAGAGGCTAGTATGGCTGGTACAGAGGGGTGGGGAAGGAGAGGGGCAGGAGGCGAGGCAAGGCCAGAAGGGGGGAGGATGTTTAGACTGCAACAGATCTCAGGGACCTTTGTGGAGCCTTGGTTTTTACTTTGAGCAACATGCAAAACTTCAGAACATGAAGTCAGCACACAGGCTCAGAAAGATGCAGTCTCTTTCTAGCCTCTGACTTTCCATCATCCATAATGGCTTGTGGAAAAAATGAAACTGCTAAAATATCTCAACAGCACTCATAAGGATTCCCTTAATGCCACTATTGATAGTATAACAAGGATACAAAAATTGATCTCTGACTTCAAGGGGCTTACAGTCTGTCTGAAGATACAGGATAACTTGGTAATAATATCCAGAGCAGGAGTTGACAAACTTTTTCTGAAAAGGTCTAGATAATAAACATTATAGGCTTTTATGGGCCATCCAGTCTCTACGACAACTGGTCAACTTGGCTGAGGTAGTGCAAAAGCAGCCACAATAAACAAATGTGTGTGGCTATATCCCAATAAAACTTTATTTACCAAAACAGGCAAGCTGTATTTGACCCACAGCATTAGTTTGCTAACTCCTAGGCTACAGAGACAAATAACAAGGCAATATGGCACATAAAAGCCTAATACTTCAATTACAAAATAATCATAAAATCAACTCAATATTATTGAGGAGTTTGTGAAAAAAAAATATTTGCACTTCATTGAGGATGTGTACATGCCATATACTATGCTAAACTACTCATGTCACTTTCATTCTTTCCTCTAAAGAACTTTATCAGGTACATACAGCTATTTTCTCTGTTTTACAGGTGAGGAAATTAAGGCATAGAGAGGTCACAAAACTGACCAAAGTTTATGCAACTTGTGAATAGAGAAATCAGATTTTAACCTGCCTTGATTATGTATCTATCATCTGCCTTTTCTTCTATTACATGGATAGACTGAAATCACCCCTATTTTAAGACTAACCCCTCAACCAATACACTAGGTCTCACCCCTCTCCTCTATGCAAGGAGGTTCCTCCTGTGATTTACTCTAAACATTAGCAATGTTTTCCTCTTCTCTATTGTTGTTCCTGCCAGTTCTCCCTTAAACCTATTTCGAGCAGACTCTGGGTATTTTACTTGAATTAAAGCACGCTTGTCAAATTGTACCCCACATGGCCATGAATAATGGTTGATTTTCAGTCTTCACCATAGTCACCATTGTCTCCTACTTAAGATGAGTTCTGCTTGATCTCACACGTCAGTTTCTAGACATACTATACATCATTTTTTGTTTCTTGTATGTTTCCCCAGGTTAGAATAAAATCCCCATAAAGGCAAGGACCTTGTTTAAGTGACCGATGTATGCCCAACATTCATTATAGGTGTCTGGCCAGACATGGTGGCTCTCGCCCATAATCCTAGTACTCTGGGAGGTAGAGGTGGGCGGATCATTTGAGCTCAGGAGTTCAAGACCAGCCTGAGCAAGAGCGAGACCCCCGTCTCCACTAAAAATAGAAAAAATTAGCTGGGCATGGTGGCACATGCCTGTAGTCCCAGCTACTCAGGAGGCTGAGGCAGGAGGATTGCTTGAGGCGGGGAGTTTGAGGTCCCTGTGAGCTAGGGTGATGACACAGCATTCTAGCCTAGGCAACAGAGTGAGACTCTGTCTCAAACTGAAAAGTATGAAAACTTATTTTTTCCTTTCCTCTTGGCACCTATATCTTCATTAATGGTAGTGGCCATGACTTAAGATCTCAGAATTTTATTTGAGCCCACATCCATTTATTCAATAGCATTTACCAAGGACCTAGAAGGTTCCAGGAACTAGAGGTAGAAAGATGAACAATATATAGACATTGTTTGCAGTTAACAATTAATATATTATACAATATTATTAGTGATTATAACTATTATAGTAAAAGTGCTAAAGCAACAAAAAGAGTAAGAACACCTTTGCATATTGTAGGAAGATATTTGCCATACAATTCCTTTAATTTTCAAATTAAATTATTGGGGGGAAAATGAAGCTACTCAAACATTTTGAAGGAAGACCATGAGCTTGCTAGGTGAAAGGAAATTAGGGAGGAAGTGAACCATTTTCGCTAGACGAAATGTTTGTATAAAGGAATGGCGATGGGATAAGAGCTCCTTACGTTGAAAGAACTGGTAATAGTTCAACATGGCCAAAGTGACAATGCACAGGGAGTGGGAAAAGATGATGTTGAATCACTAGTGCTATAGGCTTTTTTGTTTGGTTGCAGAGAAAAAGTTCCATTCGCGATATTTCAAGAAAAAGGAAGTCAATGCAAGAATAAATGTAAATTAGAACTAGCACAGCAAACCCAGGCAGTCCTAAAAATCAGACTCTATTTCTCATGGCATCCCTGATTCTCCCTGCACTGTTCCCACTCTACAATGCTCTCTTTGCTCAGGGTCTTTGTGTCCTCATCACTCAGTTTGCATGTGGCCCTTTTAATGCCCCAGCCTCTGCCTGGCTCTTTTCATCTTCACAATGTTCACACTTTAGTTCCCACTTCTAACTGAGAGGTCTCCTTATTTCCTATTTCAGTTTACAAAGAGAAAGAATTTTATAAAGCTGGCTTATTTTCCTTCATCTGCCACATAGCCCAGGATTCTAGATAGCAAGTGGTTTCAAAGTCTTGGGGTCAACTGTCCAGAAATAACCCAAATAAATGTAGCCAGAGAGAAATAGGTCATGTGATTAAAAACATGGCTATAGCCTCCTCTGAAATGACTGAAAATTCTAATTTTAGAATCATTACTGATCTTTGTAAAAGTGATTCAGTTGTGTGCTGGGAACAGAAACCAGGATAGATAGGAAAACAGAAAGTCAAAACAAAATCTAGTCTAGGCTTCCACAATATTTGGCTAAGAAATGGAAAGAGATAAACTAGTGATGGTATCTACAGTGGTACTCTAGGTTGAGAATGGGATGCTTTAATGTATGAGATGTAAATAGATATTCTACACTGAACAAATAGAACCAGGGATTAGAAAGAGGTTTAAGTTACAAGAAGGGAAAATGACAATTAGATAGGAAAGACCCCAAGGAGGGAGAAGATATAGATATAGAATACAGGTGAAGAGGCTGGTCTTAAACAGCAAGAGAGAACAGCTAGATATTGGTGCATTTCGTGGGTGTGTAGTAAAAAAAAAAAAAAATGAAGAAGTTCTCACATATGATAGCCTCTATTACATGAAACAGAAGGCAAGGTCATCTCCTGTTGCGTGTATGGGGGATAGGAAGGTAGAAGTGAGATGATATTGAGAAGATAGGCTTTGGGGGAAAATGGTTTCGCAGTGCTCAGGCACCAGATGAAGATAAATGCTACGAATCTCTAGTGTTGCTAACACTTGGGGACAGTGACATTCTCCAGCAATGTTCATCACCCTGGAAGCAGATATAGGGAAGGTAGTTTGTACAGAGTTGATCCAAAGTGTGATATTTCCAAGGGCAATATGGCACAGACACAGAAGGAAGGAGTTAAATGTTACAAGAGAATGACCAGACTCTCACCCCTTCCCAAAGCTTCCGTTTCAGGTAAACTGATCTTCTGATTGTCCCAAGAATAAGACTTTACTTTCCTGACTCTGTTCATCTGCTTATGATGCTATTTTAATTTGGCTTCTTTCTGCTCATTTCAACTCTATTATTTTAATCTCATTTCAAATGCTATCTTCTCTATAAGGTAATTCTTAACCCTCTTTTATTAAAACCAATATTTCCTTCTAAATTTCTATAATTCTTTTATTCATCAATTATATCTTGAACTTCTACCAGTTACAGACCACCATGCTTATCAATCATAGAGTACAAAATAGCTCAAATTTATATTGAGCCCTTACTATCCCTTACCATGTCTAAGGTAAGGTATACGTACTTACCTATTTAAAGTACTTTACATAGATTGCATATACTCCCACCTACCACTATATAAGGTAAGCACTGTTGCTAGAACATTTGGGAAATGCGGAAACAGAGCAGAGATGACTGTATACAACTCACTCAGGTAGCATACAACAGGACTGACTCTAGGAATCAGACTCTAGTATCTTCAATCTTAACCAACATAACTATACTAGTTTGGTGGGGGTGGGGGTGAACTCTTCTACTAGATTTCAGACTCATGTAAGAAAGGGTCTTAAATCTGTTACCCTTAGTCTCTAGAAAGAGGTGTTACATCTAACACTTTAACAGTTATACAATTCATTAGTGGTTCTGACGCTGAAATTTCACTGAGTTCTTGGAATGGAGTAAGAGAATTTTCCCAGATGGTCCCACTGGGACATTTACCTTCATTTGAAACTATTTCCAAAGATGGTCTCTTTTATAGGCAATCAAGGTGATTTGGCCCCTTCTAAAACCTGTAGGACAGATATCAAAATTGTTGGGGTTTTCCTTATTTAATACCATCCTAAAATTTTTCTTTGAGTGCCCAGGCTTCCAGAAAAGAAGTGAAATTTTCTATTACTTCTTTTTTCTAATTCATTTTCTCAGTGAAATATATGACTTTTAAAAGTATACAGTATATCGTAATGTTTAAACTTAAAATCATCAAATTTAGAAACCATGTTGTTTGTTGTTGTTGTTGTTTATCTCCACAGCCCAGTGAGAGTCAAAGAGACCTCAGGCCACTCTACCCACCTGGCCGGCTGCCGCCTCCTCCACCCTACAGGCCAAGAAGGGCCCAGCCATGTTTCCATCCTCTCTACGGCCTAGTGCTCAATCCGCCCCCGCCTCCTTTTCGCTTTGGCCCAGGGCGAGTTCCGCCTCCGCCCTTTCCACTGGGGCCTCCTGCACCCTTTCCAGGTTATCCAAATCCACCTTTCCAATGGAGACGTTACCGTCCGAGCCCTTTTGGGCGGCCAATACGCCCATGCCCCCCATTTATTTACCTTACTTCCTCTAACCCTAAACCCCAAATAAAAACCACCACCACCGCTACAACAATAATCACCTCTAAACCCATCGCCACTGCCAGAGCACACGCCGCCCCTTCCACGGAGCCCACCACGCCTGCTGCCTCCTCAGCCAAGCCCACGACCCCCACAGCACGTACTGAAGACACTACTCAAATTCGTACCCACACTCCCGGCACCTTGTTGCTCAGTGCCACTATCCCAGTGACAACCCCATACCCAACCACGGTAAACAGCACGATCCCTCAGAGTATTTGGGGAAAAATCCTTGCCTTTTTTGGTTGAAGATGCAAGAAATGATATTTTCCAAACTACTCTGAGCTCTTAGAAGAAACAACCTTCAGCGATTTCGATGGAGCCATCCCTGATCTAACCAGCATACCTAACAAATAAAATGTTTGAGCAGTAAAATGCACCTGTTGCTGTCATAAAGACTAGATGACTCTAGCTTGTATTTTATTGCCTACCAACAACTGATACGTCAGGTTCCCAGAAGGAAATAGAGACCCTTTATGAAAAAGAGAAAAAATGAATAAAGGATCTACTTAAAGAGTGGACAGGATTTAAAAAGACCAATAAGGGGTATTGAGGCATTTGGGGTCTCCAGTGGAGCTAGAGGTGGGCCTCATTTCATGGAGGAAAAGGAGAAAAATAATGATCCCAGAGCCTGAGTAAGAGTTGGGACATGGAGGAAAGGACGCCCATCAGGACCTGCTGCTATGTAGAAACGTAACCACTTCCAGATAATGCAGCAGGCAGCGGGGACAGAGCAGGGTGGGACCCCTGCCTCCTCCTCCATGTACTGAACCAGCAAAACCCAACCAAAATCTCACAGGCGAGGGAACTTCCTGAGATAGAGAATAGGTAGAGAAGGGTGGACTACTACTGAGAAATCATTAATCATTCAAAGGCTGACCTACCAGTAACCTGACTGAGCATCTTGAGGCCAATTAAGTAGCAAAGGAAAAATATGCAAGTTCCAGATTTCCCGCACAGAAAGGGGCAGAGAAAGCAGAAAGATAATTACATCAGATTTTTATTGCCTTTTCCTAAGGGGCAACTAGGTAATCAAAATAGAAGTAAATTATATAAGTTAGAACAAAAGAAATACAATAATTAAAATATAAAATAGTTGAAATAATTGAAATAGTATTAATATGGACACAAAATAAACAAAATATATTTTTAAAACTTTAAAGGTACTCTTGAGTATAACACAGCCTATTAATATAAAACACAAAATACATTTACATGTAGCATAATGTTTCGGTCACTGAAAGACCACATATATGAAGGTGATCCCATGAGATTACAATGAAACTAAAAAATTCCTATCACTTAGTCAAGTTATAGTCATCGTGGGGTGGTAGCACAATGTATTATTACTCACATGTTTGTAGTAATGCTGGTGTAAACAAACCTGCACTGCCAGTTGTATAAAAGTAGAACACATACAAATATTTACAGTACATAATATTTGGTAACAAATGACTATGTCACTGGTTTATGTATTTACTATATAAACTTTTAATGGTAAAAAAATATACCTTTACATAAAGTATACTTTATATATTTTTATTGTTGAAGTATATTCCTTCTACTTATAAAAAAAGAAAAAAGCTGACTGAAAAACAGGCTAAGGCAGGTCCTTCAGGAGGTGTTCCAGAAGAAGGCACTGTTGTCGCAGGAAATGACAGCTCCATGCACGTTAGCACCCTGAAGACCTTCCAGGGGCGAGACGTGGAGGAGGACGAGAGTGACGTCGAGGATCCCGACCCTGTGCAGGCCTAGGCTACTGTGTGTGTTTGTGTCTTAGTTAGAACAAAAAAAGTTGAAAAAGTAAAAATAAATTAAAAGTTTTAAGAATAGAATAAAGCTTATAAAATAAATAATGAAAATATTTTCGTACAGCTATACCACGTGTGTTTTAAACTAAGTGTTATTACAAAAGTCAAAAAGCTAAAAAAAAATTAAAATTTTATAAAGTAAAAATGTTATAATACACTAAAGGTTAATTTATTATTGAAGAAAGAAAAACATGTTTTTACAAATTTAGTGTAGCCTAAGTATACAGTGTTTGTAAAGTCTACAACAGTGTACAATAATGTGTTAGGCCTTCACATTCACTCAGTACACACTCACTCACCCAGAGCAAATTTTAGTACTACAAGCTCCATTCGTGATAAATGCCCCATACAGGTATACCATTTTTTATCTTTTATACCATATTTTACTGTACCTTTTCTATGTTTAGTATACAAATACTTACCATTGTGTCACAATTTCCTACAGTATTTAGTACAGTAATGTGCTGTACATGCTTATAGCCTGGAAGCAATAGAGCTATACCAGATAGCCAAGGTTTATAGTAGGCTGTACCATCTAGGTTTGTGTAACTGTGATGTTCACACAACAATGAAAATTGCCTAACAACTCATTTCTTAGAAGGTGTCCTTGTCCTTAAGCAACACACGACTGTAATATCTTAATAAACTGATGATTTTACCTCCCTCAAAATCTTTCTCAAATTAGCAATCACTATAGGATTCTATGGTATTTTATATACTATTACGTATGTACATGACATTTAAGATGGACTGGCTCTGTGTCTGCTGTCAGGGAACAGTGAAGGACACTACCCCTGCTCCAGGGACTCTCATGACCTGCTTCTCAGTAATCATTGAGATCCGTCAATCCACCTTCCCCTCTTATTTTAAATCATGTCTAATTATGTCACATTGTTGCTTACACATTATACAATTGCTCTTCTTTAAATCTGAACAGACTTACCCACCAAGGACTCTGATTTCAATCTTCCACTTCTCAAAAAAAAAGTTTTGACTTTACATGTTTATAACTTTGTATTTAATTTTTATAATAATTGGGGCCATAATTATTTGCAAGATGCCACCAGTGATTGTGTGTTTCATTGGTGTTTTTATAAATATTAAAGTAGGACTTGATACTGTCTAATGATACCACAAGACACTTCATAAAGTGTCTCATGATATCAAGAGCTTAGGAAGGAAAAATAGAATGAACTGTAGGATTACAAAATAGTCTCTTCTCTTTACACTTATGAATCTTTGAAATATTTCTGAAGGGGGGAGATGATAAAAAGTGATAAAAGTATAGAATTAGACTTTCACACATAAAGAGAAACCAGCACTGCCTATCCAAACATGCTGTTACAAAAATGCTCCTTCTATTTCCATCCATGCTACTCATGCATACGTAGGTGGACTAGGCTGAGCTGCAGGGTTTCCAGTACCGAGCACAGCCCTTCAGGGAAACACGCTTGGCCGAGTGATAGAACAATCTGTGCTTGTATCTCCTATGCCTATTCCTTGCAAAGCATTAAAGGCTATTTAAATATCAGGAGGAAAAAGCTCAATTTAAGTTCTTTTTTATTCAAATCTTAAGCAAGTATGTAGGCATAAGTTTAGAAATTTAAGGTTTTAAAAGATTAGCTTTAAGAAAACTAAAATGATACATAAAAAAAAAACTAGTAGCTATAGCAATCTAGAAGTTCAAGGGGAAACTCAGGCTCGTAACTGTTTTTCTTGGCTTGTATAACATATGTTATAGAACAGAATTTGAAGATGTTTAGGCCTGTAGCCTTCACATTCCAAATATTATCCTCTTCCCCATTCTTTTACCTGCCCTCTCATTCATTTACCCTACCTGAACTTAAGATTCCTGCATTCAAGAGAAAAAAATGTTACTATGCTTAAAAATATGTTAAAAAGCTCAAGGCTGTATGTTGTTGACAATAATGCACATAAAACTGTTTGCTTAGGCAAGAAGGCATCATTCCTGAATCCAACTTATCTGATAGAACTAAATTTAATAGTTTAGTTCTAGAGATTCTAAGTAGAGCATTTAATCAATTATTTAATATCAGATTAATATGAATTATGGCTTTTTAGAACTATGGTTTCTTGTCTCAATTAAGATAACTTCATATGCATTATCTTAATCATATTAGATTAGTATATGGCTATGTTTTGAAATATAAAAAGCTTTAGCGAGTAAACAGTCAAAAGTAAAAATACCCAGAGTATGAGAATATGCTTGGACATTGGGAGAAGATTAAGTGTCAGCCTTCAGCCTTTTGATCAAGTGAGCAGCTCAGTTGGTATCTTTTACTATTTTACTGAAAGTTGTTGTCAAGTTTTAGAATTATATAATATAATTTCTTTCACAACAAAACCACTCACATATGCTTTAACACATTAACAGCCATGAGAGTTGTATTTAACTCACTCTAGTTTTGTCACCGTGGCCATGTTAAGCATATATAAAATCTTACTTGTTGATGTTCCTATTACTAGAATTAGTATTGACAACTTAATTCTAAAAATGTGGATTAAATGAATAGAAATCAATATTTCATTTTCCATTTATATTTGCCTTTAAATTACACTCGAAGTTCTTATTCTATTTTCATAATAAAACACTGTGGCCCCAAGGAAAAGTTTCTGGGTCTTTTGTGTGGCAGTCAATGTGTTAAGCAAATTGTTAGGGTCAAGATGTTAATATTAGTAATCCTTAAAGATCTTAGTTCTAATATTCATAAATAAAGATATATAGTTTACTTCCTTTATTTAAAATATATGCTGTGTTAAAATACCATATTAAAATATATATTATAGTTCCTAAGTAATAAAGATTTAATATAATATTCCAAAGTAATTTTTATGTATATTTTTTCAAAGTGATTAGTATAGAATATTATTTCTATAGCATTCAATAATTGTTAAAATAAAAAGAAGTATCTATAATCAAATAAATTTGGGATAGGCCTGGTTAAACATAGTTTAACAAATTGGTTTACTAAAAATATCTTCATGACCTTAATATGCCAAAAATAAGAAGCAACACCTGCTCCAGATGAGAAGGGAATTAGCAAAAGAACCTGGAAGTATGAAAAATCAGAGTGAAAGAACACCTCCAAAAAGGAACAACAGCTCTCTAACACTGGGTACCAACCAAAATGAAAATATTGAAATGACAGATAAATAATTCCAAACATGGATTGTAATGAAGCTCAATAAAATCCAAGAGAAAATGGAAAACCAACTCAAAGAAACCAGAAAAACAATCAGGAAATGAATGAAAAATTCACTAAAGAGATTGACATATTATAGAAAAAACAAATGGAAATTCTGGAAAAGAAAAATTCATTTAAGGAAATACAAAACATAGTGGAAAATTTTAAGAATAGACTAGACCAGCCTGAGGAAATAATCTCAGAGCTTGAAGACAACACTTTTGAATTAATTATCAATAAAAAATAGAAAAGAGGAATGAACAAAACCTGTAAGAAATATGGGATTATGTAAATTGGCCAAATACAAGAATCATAGACATTCTTGAGG